GCCTGCCGAGAAATCCGGTAAGGGAATTATACCAATTTAATGCATTTTCTGTTGCCAAAATTGTGTAAAAAAGTGCCTCATATCTAAGGAAATTGACTACAAACGAAATTGTAAAGTTTTTTTGGTAGAAATGTGCAATATTTAAGGAAAGTGGTTTGTGTGTGTGGCCACGCGGTCGGAGCTGCAATACCAGCTGAAAATGCACTTTTGCTTAATATATATTCAAAGTGCACAGCTTTTGTTGCATTAAGCAATAAGAAGAACTGTGCATCGTGTAATTTTTCTATGAATATGTTCCAATTAACTATTTTGATTTTTGTTTATCAACTGCTTATAATACACCTAACCTCATTCTGCACCAGTGCTATACGACATATTTACATACATATCCCACTAATTGTACCTACGTGTTTTAACAGCCAAACCCGGCGACAAGAAGCCAGAGAAGAAGCCAACGGCAACTTCTGCAGCTGGCTCTGCTTCAACTGCAAAACCTGCTGCTGCCAAGAAAGCTGCACCCGCCAAGAAGCCCGCTGCTGCCCCAGCTGGTGGTGTCAAGAAGCCTGTAGCCAAGAAAGCAGCGCCTGCCAAAAAGCTCGCCACCAAGCTCAAGCCAAAGGCTAAGGATGCTAAGAAGAAGGCTGCCGCTGGCAAGAAGCCACAATCACTCTTGGCTAAATTGTCGGCGAAGGCTCGCGCCGCCGCTAAGGGCAAGAAGGTCGCCGCTAAGCCCGGTGCTAAAGTGCAAAAGGGTACAGCAAAGGCTAAGGCTGTTGCTTTATTGAAGGCCAAGAAAGTGCAAACTAAGGTAAAATATTTTTTTTTATACATACCGTTTGGATTAGAGATATATGTATGTTTTTGGAATATTTTCAGATTGTGAAGGGTGCTTTTGGTACACGCACACGCAAGGTGCGCACCAACGTGCACTTCCGTCGGCCAAAGACTCTGGTGTTGCCACGCCGTCCTAAATACCCAAGGAAGTCGGTGCCAACCAGAAATCGGTATGTATGAAAATTTTATAAATGGAGAATGTAACATTTTTAACAAAAATTTGTACTGCGTTTTTTGAACAGCATGGATGCTTACAATATCATCAAATACCCATTGACTACTGAAGCAGCCATGAAGAAGATTGAAGATAATAACACGTTAGTGTTCTTGACGCACTTGCGTGCTAACAAGAACCACGTACGTGCTGCTGTGCGTAAA